AGGCTGGGGAGCCGCCAGCTCCGCAGGTGCGCGGGGAGCCGCTGCTGCCCGGCGGGGCGCAGGAGGTGCCCGCGGAGCTGCCCGGCTGCCGTGGCCCCACGGGTGCCCTCGCCCGTGCTTTGCCACCCGGACTCGCGGTGGGAACCGGAGGAGGTCGCGGGGTAAACGTTCCATCAGCTACCCCCGCTCCCCCCCACCCCGGTCAGCAAAAGGTGGCTTGGTTTTACAGGGGTGCTGGTAGGTGTTTTGGGCATTTGTAGAACACTTATCCAGTTGCAAGTTCTCGTAAACGAGAATTGAATTGTTAAGACATAAAAACTCCTTGAGAAAACTACTTCATAAAGTGCATAGGAAAACGGGTGCCTTCTAAACCTGGCATTACTTCGGCAATATTATGTATGTAGTAAATCAGGAGCTGCTTTATTTTAGAGCATGCATAAAGTGAGTGGTATCACTCTACAGGAGCAGCTTGTGACTGGTGCTCAGCTATTGAGTGCAGCAGTTAGTGTAACTTAGTGCCACTCCAGGAGCCTTAAAGCTGCTCCAGGATCTCTGCATTTTAACCCCCCCCCCCATTTGTCTTACCAAATGATGTTTGACATTTTAATTGGTTATTCCTTAGTTAAGTGAAGAAGACAGCAGATTAAGCTGCATTTCAAAAAGCTGTTATTATCCTCGATGTAAAACCATTTCAGAACATTGTCATATTGAGAAGTAGGGTATTGCCCTATTTTAAAAAAATAGAGGGAGATTTCCATCTTGAAAGGAACGGTGGCTAGTGAAAGACCCCAATCTTAGCATGTGAAATTTTCACCTTCTTACAGTCAGTCAGAAATCAGTGCTGTGGGGTTAAGGTTTCACTCCAGGTGTCTAAGCCATCATAAATTATCTTGAAAAGTGCTGAACAGCAGTGGAGTGGTGTTTACGGTTATGGTTAGCTGTGACTGGAGAAGAACCTTGGAGGGTCTCAAAAAACTGGTGTGACATGGCAGCAGAATTAAAGGAAAGAAAGGGTCTTTTATTTTGAGTTCCATCCTCTCCTTTGTGACTAATTTCATTCCTCCATGTCTCATCCTCTTAGGGCTTCCAGTCATGTCTTTTAGCTCCCATCTCAAGAGCTAGCCTTGGTGGTTTGGGGCAGATCTCCAGAGAGTGGTTTAGCACTGTCTCAAGGTGTAGCTGGTCCCTTGTTAGCATTTTCATAGGAGGGTGAGCAGCTCCCTCCTAAAAAACACAGAAAGTAGGCAGGGGAGAGAATTCCTGGTCCATCTCATGAGTGGGCTTGGTTTAGCCTGGTGGGTATGCACATTCATGCTCAGAGGCATGTCTGAGTCCTCCCCCTTACTGCATGGATTGAAAACAGCTGTTTGTGCCTTTCAGCTTTGGCAGTCCTTTTTTATCCGTTTGTTTTCAAGTCTGCCTTTCCATGGAGAGCAACAAAAAAAGATGAGATTCTTCTAAAAATGAAATCTAAAATATTTGTGGATTTTTTTTTTGTTTCTTCCAAACAGACAATTGTTTTTGCAAGGTCTAAGAGCTGGATCTCTCTGCCCACTTTACTAGGGATGTAAAATGAGTTTTCATAACCCCACTGCTCTTCTGCTATCCCCTTTTGCTAGCATGTGTGTAATTTATGCTGAAGGATAGATCTGGTCACCTATTGCATCTACATGCTAGTCAGTGAAGATATCTCAAGAAAGAGTTTGATAACATGTGCCAAAGGATCCAGTAGAGGCAGTGTGCTTTACAGAAGGCAACTACCAAACCAATTTGAACATTCATTTAAATATTCAAATTTCAAAAAAATGTGTATTGAAGTAACATTAGACACACATTTGCCAGTATTTAGTCATTACTTCTATAGTATTTCTCCTACATTTTTGTTTAGCAGAGATTAATTATTCTCACAGGAACTGACATAAAATCAGCCAGTAGACCTAGAAGGACTAGACAAAACATTTATCTGTATTTCGTGCTGTCAGATACTTAAGTACTGTATTGCAGTGTTCCAGTTGAGAAGATGGACAGCTGTATTTTATGAATTATTACTACTTGCAAAATGCTGTTGTACAGAGCAGTGAGTTGCATTTCAGTCTCTTGCTTGGGCAATTGCTTTGCTCTCTGTGATACATGTGATGAAATACCTAGCGTTTTGCCTCTGCAATCTGTATCACTGAGTAGCTATCCTGGGATGCTGTAAATGTGAACTGAATGAAAGATAAATCACCAGATCCATCTCATCTATGTCTTTTTTAGTTGTTTGAAAACAGTGTTGTAAGTGCATGCAAATCAAGGGCCTGATTATTTTTCTAATGTATCCTGAAGACTCTCAGTAGAGTCATGGTATCCTTGGACCCAATACAAGTGTAGACATAGGCAATATTTCAGTGGTTTCATGAGATGAAGGGGAAAAAAACCTCTTTCTTTTTTGGAAATGGCATTTGTGTCTAGATGAATGGATGCTCCAGAATGAGCAACGGAAGCAGCACAAACCCAGGCTCTGATATAAGGGAACGCTGAGGAAAACCCCAGTTTGCTGTTTCAGTGCCATAAGGGGGGGTAGCTGACATATGTACAAGTACAGTGTTAGCCTCTTTGCTGATGCATTGTTCAAAAATTAAAAGAAAAACTTGAAACGGCTTTCACTATGCCTTCAGGGTTGGTTTTTTTTTGGTCAGGCCTGTCTTTCTTTATTATCTGCCAGAATGGAAAGATAAGATGAATATCTTCTGAGAAATCAGTGAAGTGAGTAGGAGGTTATGAACATTATATTGCTTACCTGGCATTTTAGCATTTTAATTGGTGTCTGTAAATACCATCAAAATGGTTCTTAGGGTAAGTACACTGGAAATCTGTCTGAAAATTCTGATGCTGGATCCTCGGTCTAATTGAAATATGAACACAACCATCTGAATTTATGAAAGCAGAAATAGGTCCAAAAGCTTTCAGCTTAGAGAAGAATTTTAGACGTCTACCCAAACATATTTGGGTACCTGAATTTGAAGACTAGATATTTCTCTGTTAGTTACTTATCAATAATTCCTTTTAAAAACTGCTAAAAGGTGATCAGTTGCAACAAAATATATATAGTACTTTGATAGAATCATAGAATAGTTCTGGTTGGAAGGGACCTTCGAAGATATCTAGTCTAACCCTCCTGACATGGACAGGGACATCTTTCAATAAATCAGGTTGCCTAAGATGCCCTGCCCATGCCAAAACATTGGACTAGATGGTCTTTAAAGATGATCTTCATATTGTTAATTTTTGTTTTCATATTGTTTATTTTAGGTAGAACAACTTGGGTTTGTTTTAAAGTATGTCTGGTGGGTGACTTCAGACTACATTCTTCTTTGGTCATTATTATATTTAAATTGCTGTTGAAACTCACTTGTTTTTCAGTTTTTGATCTTCTTCCATATTCCAACAAGGGAGTGGTATTGAACTTCTTGCAACAAGCACTTGGTGATCCTATGCTGAATGAAGTGTACTTGCTCTTGACATTTAAACTGCAGCCGAAGAGCACAGCCACCATATTTGGCCTGTATTCATCAGCTGACAGCAGCAAGTACTTTGAATTTACGGTAATGGGACGGATGAATAAAGGTGAGTTGCTGGGAGTATGTAGAGGAAAACCATTGGATCCATAGTTATTCATGTGTCACAGATGAATGTTGAAAACTGTGTGATTAACCTTTGTGCTTGAGTCATACCTGTTGCATGCTGTCACTACCTAGACCCCACCCTCACAAGGGGAAAGAGACGGTCTATCATCTCTCTCTCGCCTTCTCTCCTTCTCTGTGGATGCTGCTTACTCCTGGCCAGGGGAAGCTGACCTTACCATCAGCTGGTATGTTCACTCTGCCAGGGGCTTGCTCTGAGCAGTGTTGAGAAAGGAGGAAAAAAAAAGGAGTATGGAGAAAGGAGTAAATTTGGTTTTCTTTTTGTTTTTCTTTTTTCCTCTTTTTCTTTTTCCCCTAGGGACAATCACTGGTTCTTATTACTCAGGAATGTGAGGGACACACGCACATGCTGCCTCATGCATATGAAAGACAGGTTCTTGTTCTGCTGACCTTGAAGTTTAGATGTGACTATGCAAGACAAACATTCCTAGCACTTACAGGATCTTTTGGGTGAATTAAAGTGTCTGTTCTCTGTTTATTGGAATCAGTTAATCAGGATTCAGAGTAGGAACTTCAGCAGACTTACAAATGGAGAGCTTTCATAGACTAGATCTAGGATATATTGCAATTTTAAGGTTCAGTGAAAAATTGTCAAACAATGTAGATTATTTTTGCTCCACTGACTGCACCACTACTATGATAATTTGCTGCTGCAGATGTTATATTGGACTCAGCTGTCCAATTACATTGAGAAACTCTACTGAGATACATAGGAAGTATACACAGAAAAATTGTTCTATGTGCTGAAGAAAAGCACACCTTTTGCTTGGGAAGTTTAGGGGAATGAGTTCATTTCACCAGGTCTGCCAAAATCCTTCTGAGGTCAGGGAATAAGAACTTGTGTGCTATGTGTGTGTGGGTAAGACATGGTCACACAGCCTTATCAGTAACTGTTATACAATTCCTAACACCAGTTTACCTAATTGCCAAATAAATGATAGATCAAGCATACTCCCTCACACACACAAGTATGTGTGTAAATGTTATACATATATATAGGAATGCATATGTATACACAAAAACCAGTCTATATACATATAATTTTGAACCTACTGAACTCTTCTCTTGATTTTTCAAGCATACCTGTATGCGTGATGATGGTTACGGATACACTTTAACTACAGACTTAGGCTTTCTGGTGGAAGGTTATGTGGCTTCTTCTGGGTTTCTGCTCAGTATGTTAGTGTTGTATTTGAGAAGTGTCTGTGACAGGACAGTGGCATATAAATA